AGAAGCGGAGCAAAGTCCGTCGCAATGTCATTTAAAAGAGTGTCATGCTGGAAATAACAAATACCCAGCCGCAAGGAACTAGCTGCGCGAACCACGACACAGACGTGTATCGCAAATGCCTCTAAAAGCGTTTTAGGGAAACGTTGAGTACGTGCTGCAAAGTGCAAGATAAAGTCCATACGGTTCGATCCAAAGTTCTAAAGAAACATATCGATCGTTATCCATTGTACATCACGTGATATACCACGCTGCACATTCACACGCGAAAAGAAAAAAGTTGGAAGGATGCACATCACAGCGTGTAAAAACTATTAACGTTTTAATGACGACAATGTCGCTAACACTGTGGGCACCGACCCAAGACAGGAAAGTTGTTAAGAGAGTAAATCCTGAGAGCTCTCATCACCAGGGGAAACTTTTTTTCCGTTTTTCTCTCTTTCCTTTTAATTGTATCTGTATGAGAAGATGTACGCGAGCGGACTCTATCGTAACCATTTCACAATACGTGTAAATCAAACCGTCGCCCCAGATGCCTTAAACACACAGAGGGGCGCGGGTCAATGGCTTCTCAATAAAACTGGACAGAATAAATTTAAAAGTTTTAAATAATAAAATTCTCTTTTTAATTTTAATGTCCTCCTTGGCACCTTTTTGCAATGAAAGATGTTTACCATAAACGAGTTCTCATCCATCTGGGTGGGTTTGGGACACCTTGACGGAGAAGGGGCGTGGACCGGGCACCCTCACAAGGGGCCCCCACCCCCATCCATGGGAAACGTGTTTTCGCGGGAACCCCCAAGGCAGCAGGAGCCCGAGTATCAAAGTGTGAGTGTTGACGGGAGGCCAGGCATAGCCGCGCACGTGGGCGCAGAGGGCCGGGAGCCGAACCGTGATGGGCAGTGGGTGGAATGCTCTGGATGTTCATCATTTTTTCCATCGAGAAGTTAAAAATACCCCAGAGATGTCGAGCCTCCCCGAGCCAGAAGCAGAATAAGCAGCAAGGGGCGGAGGAGAGATGACCCCTCTTCCCCTCGGAGAGGCTTTTCTGCAGAAGCAGGCCATCCCCAGAGCGGGCAAAGCTACGCACTAGCAGCGCTGGGGGGGACGGAAGAGCATGTTCACTCCCTGTCCCCACCGAGCAGAGAGGAGACGGGGGCCCGAGCAGGGAGAGAAACTCATCCAAGATCACGCAAGTCAGCCCCACGTCAACTGAGAACAAACGAGAGGAACCCCGTCTCTCACCCCTTTGTGTTCCTCCCGGCAGAGCCTATAGCAGGGGACAGACGGACGGACAGGGGTGAGGGACACTGGAATGGAAGCTAAAACATGGCCGACCACAGCGGCCGTTTCGTCCAGCGGTCCCCCAGCCTGGCTGTGCTCCGTGTCCTCTCTGGCTTTTTGGCCCCATCCTTGACCTGTGGCCTCGTTCACAACTGGGGGGGACAGGGGAGACCCAGACAGCAGGGTTTTTAAAAGGCCCCCCCTTAGACCCAGAGAGATGTTTCGGGAAGAAAGGGAGACCTGTAGAGTGTCTGCCCTCGACTCTGACCCCCAGCATGGCATGCAGTCCAGGGAAGGACGTTTAACCTTTGGGGCTCAGCTTTCTGGGCGTAAACTGGGAATTTTACGTTGGGTCACCTCAAACAACCCCGAATGCCACCAGAACGAACACAGGCTTTCGAATGCAGAATTAGATTGCCTTACACCGCAAGGCTTTTTAAAAATCCCCCGAGATGACCATGGGGTCCCCCAATTCAGACCACTTCGTCCCCCGAGATGGAAGGTAGAGCACCTTTTGCATCGATATGAATAATAGTCATTTCCATTCTCTAGGCAAAGAAACTGGGGCTCGATGAAAATAGCTTCGATTAACAGTGCTAGTAACATCTTCACAAAGATTGCCGTTTCTAGCATCGACCTTTGGAGGCTTCCTGCGCCCCAGTTCCCAGTGCGTCTGCCTGTGTCACCCTCTCACGTCACCCACGCGGCGTCGCACGGTGCAGACACTATTCCCCCAGTTTCCCAAAGACGCTCGGAAAGGCCGTGGGGCGTGAGCAACCAACGGGAGGCACATTCTTTTCCTGTTTAAGGCAAAAGGATTTTCCGATTCTCCTCACGTATTTTCTATTTCCTAAGGCTCCACCGCAGCTAGCACGCTGGGGGCGGGGGGAGGAGCCTCCGATGCGCCACGGGCGGCAGTGGCCGTGGCCGCAGCGAAACAGCGGCCGCCACAGTAACAGCTTAGTGAGCACTTGCTCCGTGCCAGGCACCGTTTCCACCACTTAACCTGAGCCAACGCGTCTAATACGCACGAGACATGAACCGTTTTTATCTCCACTCTACAGATGGGGAAACGGAGGCCCGGGGAGGGGAGGTAACGTGCCTGAGGCTTCGTAAGACTCACATAAACGGTGAAGCTTTCTGGCTCCGAGAATGAATCTTTTTCTCTCCTTTATTTTAAAAATCCTCTCTAGAGTGAATATTTCTCCAACCCAGGGCCGTATCTTACTCACCTTTGTAAACTCAGCTCTGAACACGTCTTGCCCAGCATCTCACCGAAAAGCTCTAGAGCTGGTAAGATTCCGATTACGGAAAATCACTTGGAAAATGAAACTACTGGAAACCCAAAAAGCGGTCCCCGCTGTGTATTTTCCCTGCGTTAACATTTCCAAGATTAGAAGACGTGCTTTCATATTTATAACAAAGCGAATGAATGACCACACTCCGATAAATGAGATGTATAGAAGACCACATGTGAATTATGGTTTTTCTTTCCCCCCTACACATGAGCTTCTAAAAAAAACAAAAAAAAAATTTATTTCCATTAATCTGAGAATGGATTTGGGTTCTAAAATAGAGAAATTCGATATAAAATACAGCAGAGGCCTTCGTACCAGATGTGTGACCTTGGTCAAGACACTTACTCTCTCCTAGACCTTGTTTCTTCATTCTAAGCAAGGAAGGTGGCTTCTTCCCACACGGATCTCCTGAGATCACATACTCGAAGGACCCGGCACTGGCCCGCTACACCGTATTTGTTTAAAAACTGAGCAACTCTCAAAATTAAGAACAGACAACATCGTAACTTCTGAGATGCCATACACAGGATGCTGGCTATAGTTAAAAACACCACATTGTGTACTGGAGAGTTGCTGAGAGAGATCTGAAAACGTCTCATCACGAGAAAAAAATACGTCACATGTGCAGTAATGGATGTTAACTAAACTCCGCCGTTGAGATCATTTCACGTTGTATACAAGTATCAAATCATCACGTCCTATACCCAAAACTGCTACGATGTTACCTGTCAGTTATAGCTCAATAAAACGGGCGGAGGGAAGAACAGAGAACATAGAACATATTTCTCTAAGAAAAACAGTTTTGAATTATATATTACGACCAGTTCAGATGTGGGCCAGCGGGCGAGACGCAGAGGTCGGGGTACAGAGGGCAGAGAAAGACGAAGGCGGCTGGGGGGTGGCAGAGACGAGGGAACAGGGACGGAGGGACAACCACAAAGCCAGACGCCCACAGGAAGGGGTCGGGGGCCGGGGGGCCCGCGGGTGCTCACGCCCGCACACGACGTCACACCTCCCTCCCGGCCTGGAAGCCGCTAACCAGAGAGTTAATCACTGCTCCTTCACTCGAGAGAGAAAAAACCTCCAAACACCGAAAAACCTCCCCGAGCCGCTGACGGCCTCCTGAGGAGACGTCAGCCACCTCCGGCTGAGCCCCGACACCACCTGGGATGACGAACCTACGGGCCAGAGGCCAAAGGAGAAACACCACCTGGTGTCAAGCCTCCAGGTGGCCTTCATTCTGAGCTTCTGCCCTGGTCGCATCCTGTCTTTTATGAAACAATGGCGAGAGTAAGCGGCAGCAGCTGTTTATTACTTCATTGTTTAATTTTATGTCCTTACTCAGCAAAATTAACGGTTGGTGACCTTACTTGGTCCCCCAAAACCTTTTTGACATCTTACAGACCTGTGCAACCCCGCTGACTAGGGACCTCTGAGCTGTGCAGAGGGGATGTGGGCGGGCAGCGAGGATGTGGGAGGTGGCGATGGAGGTGGCGATGGAGGCGGAGGTGGGACGTGGGGAAGGGGCCGGGCGTGGGGAAGGGGCCGGGCTCAGGCCAGCTAGAGGAACAGGTGAAGAGGGACCAGGAGAGACGGAGCGGCGAGCAGGTAGGAGAAGGCCCTCTGCACAAGCCCGGCAGCCGAACTCTCCCCAGAGAGCGCGGGGCGTGGCCGCAGGCTGAGGAGCGATGCCTGTGACAGGGGCGTGGAGGACATGGCGCTCACGCACCGGAGGGGCGGGGCAGTTTGGGCGGCTGTTGTAAAGTGAACTCCCTGGTGTGGGCTGGAGGGTTTGAAATGACACCACGTGGCTGTGGGGATCCAGGCCAGACACACCCAACACGCCTGCCTGGAGGGCCCCCAGCCCTGGCCCCACGGCACCCCAAAGGCCTGGCAAATGCGAGCCCTTGACATCTCCTCCAGCCAGTGGGATCCCCAAGAATGGATTCGCTCTGCTCTCCCGTCACACACGGGTTGTGGTTCTAGAGAAATCCCTGCACTGAGTCTGCTGAATTCTCACCCTTCGTGGAAGGAGTCAAACTGTTTTCTCAGAGAAGAAAACCTCAGCTGTATTAGGGTGTTGTTCGGAGCCTGGGCCGACACCGACAGCAGAAACAAACATTGAGGCTGTGGGAGGGGGCGGGGCGAGCAGCGGGGTGGGTAGGAATTCGATTAAAACGTTAAAAATTAAAAAGTTCCCATGGGATTAAAAAAAAAAGTTCCTCACGCAGTCCCTAAACAATACATTTCAAAAAAAACGTTTAATCAGATGGGAACGCTCACCATACTTTATGTCGTACGTACGTAAACATATACGTAAAACACGCGCACACACACACTCACACACACACACACACTCACACAGGGACCTTGAAAGCAGAGAGTACGCTCAAACTGTCTCCCCGGGTGGTGGAAAGACTGGTAATAACTGTTCTTCAGATTTTCTGTAATTTTCATGTTCTATAACGAACACTCGTTTCAATAACTCCCCAGAGGCGACTATGATTACCTATTACACTTTTTAAAAACAAAAGGCATTGGTAACTGTGCTAAGTTAAGCATAGCTGCAAATCCTTGGCAGCTCTTGCCATCAAGTCGGGAAATGATTCCCCCTCCTGGACAGAGACAGGCGGCGGGGAGAACCGAGGGCCACGGCCACCTGCCGGCACAGCCGTCAGACACGCCGGCGAGGCCGCCTCGGACCACGCGAGCCCGTGCAGCTGTCTTAGTGACTCGAGAGCTGCCTGGCTGACCTGTTTCCGAAATCTCGAGCGGATAAATGGTTGCTGTTTTACCCTCGTCTTGAGGTGACTTGTTCCCTAGCAACAGATAACCGATCCGGTAACAGAGCTGAAGCACCCCTCTGCACCCCCACGATACCTGTCCAGGGGGTGCCCAGGACCGCCTGGCTCCACTCGCTCCACAGGCCGTGCCCAAACTCCTCCTGGGCCCGCAGCTGCACCACGTGCCTCATGCCACTCCAGGCGTCATGGATGGTGCAGCGATGCCGGGGCTCCTTGACCTGCGGGCGGAGGCACAGTGACCGTGGGCGGCTCTGCTCAGGCGGCCCCTGCCCCTCAGCTGTCTCGCGCTCAGGTCGGGGGGAGACTCAGCGGGGCACAGATGTGCCGACGGCTGACACCACCCCGGCAGCGCACAGCAACACGGGAGTGCCCTCTGTCCCACCCCACGCATGGCAGCTCCCAGCGGGCCACACGCCAACATGGCCTGGTCCCACTCTTCCCGGTCACCCTCGCCCTCACAAACAGGCCTGTGAAGGGGAGACTGGCCTGGCATTAACGGTCCCCATTTTAAAAACGAAGCCACAGAAGTCCAGAAAGGCTCAGAGACGACCCGGGCCACGCGGGGCGTGTGGGCCGGGCCAGCCCCGGTTCCGTCCACGGCCGGGTGTCGGGGGCTCCGCGCTGGGCAGCAGCAGAAGACGGACTCACCAGCAGAGTCGTGAAGACCTTGGACTTCTCGGCCCGGTACCGGAGCTCGAACTGCAGCCTGTAGAAATGCGAGTTCCAGGAGGGGGCGTCTTGCCAGGTGACACTGAGCCAGCGGGGGTTTCTGTCCACCGGGGTGACCGTGATGTTGACAGGTGGGTCAGGTTGCACTGGGGGAAGGGCACGTGGGTCCCGTGTGGCAGCGAGGGTGGCAGAGGGAAGACCCCACTAGCCATGCACAGCCCCGACAGGAGGACGCGACGCAGCCCTCCCCCGGCACGTGCCTCCCTGCCACAGTCACACCTCCGCAGGTAAAGCCCCAGCTTGCCCAAGCCCTCGCCCAGCACCCCCGCCCCTGCCCACGGTCAAGGAGAAGCCGGGTGACCCGGGAAGCGGCGGGACGGGAGCTTGCTCACGGATTTCGTAACCCTCGAACGTCTGGGGTCTGCTGGACGCGCTGCCAGCGTGGTTGGCGACGCACAGCGACACTATGTAGAAAGAGTTGTCCCCCTCCGGAACCGCCAGCTGGCAGGAGAACTTCTGGGACTCCTGAGCATACAGGCACGGCTCCTGGAAGTCTCCCACGGGGCTGTGCTGGCTGCGGGACACAGAGCGAGGGGGCCGGCTCGGTTTCCGCCCTCGCCGGGGCGGGGTGGAGCGGGGGCCGACCCCGGGTTCGAATCTCCGCTCCCCACTTCGCAGCTCCTGTGACCTGGGGCAGATCATCCTCTCCAGCCTCTGTTTGCTCAGAACACTGAGCTTAGGGCCTGGGGGCTGCACAAAGGACTCAGGAGGCCCACCGAGCCTCTGGGCCCGCCTCGGACCACTGGCCAGCCCGCAGAAATGCCATTCCAGAAGCTCGGAGTGCCAGAGGGGTCCCCAGGATACGGGGCACCCAGAGGGGAGTCTGGGTGACTACAGATACTCGAGGTATGTCAGACGCCGCCCCACCTGGCCAGGAAGCCTGAGACTTCACCCTCTGACAGGCGCGGGCATGTGAGGCCACGCACGGCAGCTGCAGATTTGAACCCCAGACCAGACACGCCTCTTCCGGGAAGCCCGCCCAGCCTTCCCAGCACCAGCCAGGCCGTGACTGTGCACACACCAGCATGAGGACGGCGGACACACAAAGTCCCTTCCTGGGGCCCCGGTCCGCCCCCAGCAGTCCCGGCAGAGTAGGGCCTGAGTGGGCCTAGGGCCCCCACGGTTCTCGCGCTGGCTCACCCCCACCCTCCTCGCAGGTCAGGGCGGAGACCGCGCCCCGCAGGATGACGGCCCGAGGCTCTGGCAGGTGAGGGCTGGGCTGAAATGCCTTGTTCTCTGTCACCCCTGCTCTCAGCACTCAGTGTCAAATGAATCGGCTCGCCTGGGCAGATCCCTCCGGGACAGCGCGCCACCCTGCTGACCTCAGAGCCGTTGATGCTCTGATGATCGACAGCTCGGACGCAACTAGAAACATCTGGACTGCGAGGCTTTGGGCTCTGGGGTGGAGGCGGAGCAAACCGCAGGGCTGTGACCCTTTCCCGCAGCTCACGCCTTCTCTGCATCTGGGCCTAAAGCCACCTCGGGTCCCCAGGTAGCGTTTGACCCCCAGCAGAGCCACTCGCGAGGTGACCATGGACGGGCCCGTCGAGCTCGGGGAGGCCGGCCCGGCGGGCCCTACAGACTCGGAGACCGAGAGTCACCACACGGGCGGCCTGAACATAAAAAGCCCTAACTAACAGCGGGTCTTGGCGGGTGGTCCTGTCCCAGGCCTGTGGCCTCCTTGAGGAAGGTCAGCCATTACCGAAAATGTCTGCCCACCGTCTTTTTGCATCTAAGATAACAGACCTTGGAAAGGTCGGAGTCGTCTCCTCCTCCCGACCCCTCAGGGCACAACCTCCCACCTGAGCACAGAGCCCCTCACTGTCCTCCGGTCCCCGGACCCTCTCTCTGTGTGAACGTCCCCTGGCCTGTGTGTCCCTCCGCGCTGCTCTTTATCCCGCCCCCTTAGTCCACCACCAGAGGGTTCCGTGTGACCCGCTCAGTCTCCTCCTTTGATTTTTAAGGTATAAAATAAGCTGCAAAATCGCCATTCTCCAGAGCGTTTTCTCCGTCCACTGAGATGTTGCTTCCTCTCAACTGTCACCGGCTCGGCTCAGACAACCCTGTCATAATTTTCTACAGGTTTCGACACTTCAAATGCCAACAAAGGACAAAAATAACACCCGCTTTGACAGACGGCCCTGCGTGTCCGGCGTGGGGAGCACTCACATTTAAGTCTCGTCCTCCCCTCCCAGTCCCTCCTCCTCGCCTCTTCTCAAAGGAATTATTTTCTGATCAAACTTGGAGATCACTGGCTGGCCGGTCCCACTTGGCCCCTTTGAGCCCCACTCTTGGGCCTCGGTAAGCATGGGTGGGCAGGGACACAGCCCCCCAAGATACTTACAACTTCCTCACCAACAACACGGCCTTGGTCGTTGGGGAGGGGGCGCTCCCCGGGCTCCACTCACAGTCCACGTTGCTGAGGGGGCTCTTCCGGAAGCAGGAGAGCTGGGGCTCCTCGGGAGGGGCTGAAAAGAGAGCAGGCAGGGGTGAGGGGGGGTGAGGAGGGGCGAGGAGGGGTGAGGAGG